GGTTGTGGGAGTCTGCCAGGTGATGACCACTGATCATGGAGATCTGGTTGTGGGAGTCTGCCAGGTGATGACCACTGATCATGGAGATCTGGTTGTGGGAGTCTGCCAGGTGATGACCACTGATCATGACCAAGCAGTGTTAGTGCTGTCCATGGCCGTATCTCACAGGGTGAAGCAACATTTTTGGTCGTTGTTTATGCTGAATGATAACTGAATGGTGTAGATCAGGGGCTGCCAAACTGTGTATGTGGATAATCATGCAACTCCCTAATTAGATTACTAATTAGAAGACTAACGTGTTTAAAGAGTTCTCACACCTGGGTTTGAACAACTGACCCAATGGTTATCCCAAAAACCTGCATACACACTGGCCCTTTGCAGATAAGATTGGCCACCCCTGGCGTAGATGGTCTTTCAGAGTTTGGAGTGTAAGAGTTTTTATATTATGATTCTGAGCCGCAAAAAAGCAAGAATAACAGCAATAATAATCACAATAAGAAGAAGATGCATGGAAAATAGAGAACAGATGTAGATTTTTAGGCATTTAAAGGCCTTGGGGGATAAACCTAACAGTGAAACAACTGGTGCCGCTTATTTAAACTCCTGAAAAATGTAACCAATCACTGTCAGTCTTGTTCCATTCCAGGGAAAGTTTGCCCTCTGCTGGAGAGCAGGAATCATTATTGCTCTATGGCATAGGGCCTCAGTGTTGTTTTTGACACCATATAGAATGTATTTGTATAGAGATCAGAGAACGTTCCCCTCCCCTTAAAAAGCCCATTATTATTTATATAGATCATATAATTTAAAAGCACACAGTAGAATACAGAGCTGGTGGAACTCTGATTGGATATTAAAGTGGTTTGTCAGACGGAATGGTGTGTTTTAAATGAGACAAAGGGAAAAGGCTGTCATTATCATATCAGCAAAACTAACAAATAATAAGATCACACAATTATTATGGTGATGTAAATATCAAGAACAAGGACCAATTTTCCACGTAACCAATCTGTAACAGTCCCTATAACTGCGAAGAGCCCATTCTTCCAGGGAGGTTCCAGGAACACCCGGAACTCTCTGGGTGTGTGGTTCTTTGGCTAAACCATGAGTCTACGCAGCCAGCAGTGTCAAGGCCTCTTCCAGGATTGAAAACAATTAAAATTAATTAGCCTGCTAGTGAATAAGGCAATCTCATTCAAACAAGTAGATTTCAAGGTAAAACATAATGGCTTTTTTACTAAATTGGAAGGGCTTGGCAAACGATCCCCTCCCGTATATTTTTAGTGATTGATATGCTACAAGGACACATCAATGTTCTCAGTATTGATGGCCTTTACCGCTTCAGACAGCCATTTTAAGTAATGCAATGTAGTATTCCTGTGGATACACCGCTGGGAATTCTTTGATCTGTAAATATTTTCCAAAATGACAGTCCTCCTTTCCATTTTTCTTTAAGATTTGCTTACATTGATCTGTCAGTGTTCCACAGGACTTTGTTTTTTATTGTGTAACACACTGCAAAATGTAAAAACAAATTTACTGCCCAAACAACTCTAAAGCATCAATCTTGCATGATTAGATAAAACTACCCCTCATTTATTTATAACCACGTTTCTCATATCCCTGATAACCCAATTAGAAGGCAAGAAAGCCCAAATTAACCATCAGTGGAAAACTTTTTAACAGGGTGTCATGCTGCGTTATGTTGTTATAACAGAGAATGGGATGGCTTAAAAATTGTTACAATCTGTGGGCCTGTGAAAGCACAATAGACAGATCCATGCTGACAAAATGCCCCATGGCCAGTTACAAAGCACAGTAATTAGGCAGTGTGCAACAAACAACGGAAATTTTAGATTTCAGTTTATCGAATTATATGTAAATGCAAATATATCAGCGCACATCAGTAATTCAGGGTAAAAAAAGTTACAAATTACAGCCACATGGTGGTGTCCTTTCTTAATGGATACGAATCTGGCGCTGAATGTTTTGTTAAATTTGGAAACAATTTTATTTTGATTTTTTGAATTATTAAAAATATCAACCTATACATAAACACATCATCACAAATTAGGTCATAAATTGTGGAATAAAGTTACCGGAAAACTACATGCTTAGTCTTAAATCAGCTGACAAACGATATAAATACAAATAATCAACAAACTAACGGATTATAAATTATGATTTTTTATAAACGCATAAATTAACTAATTATGCATTTGGTAAAATTAAGGACATACTTGTAAACTAAAGGTTGCCTTTTATGAATTCCAGTACAACGTTCATTAACAGCCCCAAATTCGGTAAAAAAAAAAAAAAAAGAAGAAAAAAAAATGATTACTTAGTACCTGGAAATAATAACATATAACACTATACATTATATTATAGTGTAGAGTGCAGAGAGTAGAGATATTCGCCGATCGCCGCACGGTTAAAAGGCCCCGCCCGTAGACACGCGGAGCTGCACCGCCGCGCGGCGGATATCCACAATCGCAGCAGTTCGGGGCGCGCGGCGGGCGGGGCTGCGCGCAGCTTGAGGCGAAGCATGTGACTTGATGGTTGCTACGCTCGGTTTTTTAATATGACATCACTGCTTTTTAGGAACGGTAGCTGGAAAACGAATATAATTTCAGCATAAACCAGTCTCCGACAAACTGACAACTTTTTGGTTATTATTGTCCTCGTAAAAGCAGCGGTATCCTCCTACGTAGCTTTGGAATAAGTGACGGACGCGAGGTTCAGCTCACTGAGGACTCATCAAGTACAGGTAGCTATACGTTAGCCTACTAGCTAATCCGGGTTCGACATTGAAAGATACTCCATTTTCTTTGCTGCTAACAGTATCTGACTCTTTCAATGTTTAATTTGTTACGACTTTCGAAAGTAAAATGTCTACCAGCCGACACATTTCGTATTGACATAATAGCAGTCGGTGTGTTGAAATGAATTGCATGAGGTGCTGTACTGCACAGCAGCTCGCTAGCAAGTACATTATAACTCGTCTGACTTAAAACACGAGTGTTTACAAAACCTTTCTATTTTAAGCACCTTGGTTTTGAAAATGTTCTTAAAATGCATTACTGGGGCAATTTGAAAATAACTAGTTAGCTAGCTAAAGAAGTGATATAGGTATAACACACATTAAGGTCTGGTGAATTGTCAGTAAACAACGTGCCAGTCAGGTTAACTAGCCACGTACTAGCCTCGAGTTAATCGGGTCATTATCGAAATGGTTCGAGCACAGTGGTGATGCAACGTGCATGCCTTTGTTTTCACTTCAGCAGAAGGTTAACCGTTTAGCCCCAAGGGAATGCCATGCTTAATGTCACCCAACTCCGCTCTATTAGCCCGCTCTTGTTCTTGTTTACCATGGATCCTGATATCTGCCAAATTAAACAGCACCTTTGTTACAGGCGACCTAACCAGACATTAACCATGTCTATGCTCAGATTTGATCTAAATTGTCCTTTCATGTCTAGCTTTCAAACCTGTGGTGGAAAACCTGGCAGGATTGTCAAGAATCCCGCAGGGATAATGCCGCTCTCTGCAAAGCACAGAGTAAAACCACCGTCATCGTGTTAATGCAGGTACGCTTAATTAATGGCACATTTAGTTAATGTTTTAAAAGAATTATTAATTCTTTCACTTCATCCATTTCAGTGGTGGATAATGTTAGTTGCAAACTGAGAAGACAAAATGGTTTAATGGTTAATATTAATACATGCTTTCAGTCCATCTTTAAACACATGTATCCTCTTTGCTGCAATGGGGTATTGTAACCTGTTTTGGATGTTGTCCAAGCGATACTTTTGGGGATAATTGTCTAAAACTGGGTAGCTTTGTTGTCGCACACCTCCAGGGTTGGGGGTTCGATTCCCACATTTGCTTCTTGTTTGTGGCCTTTTTATGTTCTCCCTGTGTTGCGCAGGTTTCCTTAGAGTATGCTGGTTTCCTCCTGCGCTAGGCTAATTTGTGACCTGTAGATGATAGTGATTGTTCATGGTGTGCCCCATCCTTATTCCATATGCTGCCTGGGCTAGGCTTCAGGACCACGATGACCCAGATTAGGACTCATTACCTTGAACATATGTTAGGTTTTTACTCATCACTTCACTGAATGATAATTATTACTGATGAGTTGTCAAGATGGGTAGGTGCCCCATCCTGGGTGATACCTTGCGCCCATAGCTTCCGGGATAGATTTCAGTCCCCCGTGCCCTTGCATAAGACAGGTGGGTATAGAAAATGGATGGATGAAGCTGATGAGAACACTGGATTTATTAACTGCACTCTTGCAATGTGTTTATGCGCATATCTCAGTGAATTAGCAAAAAATATAAGCTGAGCATTTGTGAAATGTGTGGTGAGGTGTTTTGCACTTTTATACAGTGTAAAGAATCTTTTCAAAGGTACAGTGAATATCTGCATGTTTGTCATAAGCAGCTTAATTCAACTTCCAATATCTGTTCTATGCTGAGCAAAAGTTTACTGATGTTTCTACTGAGAGATTGTACTGTTCCAAATAATATTTAATTCATCTTTTTATGCTTTCCTTTGGGTTCTGTGTTTTATGCGTTGGCATTTATCTTAATTGCTGCTCTTTTTAATGTAACAGAAACATAACATTGCTGTGGTAATGACAAAGTAAGAAACAAGCTGCACTTGTATATTTTTTTCCTCAGGTTGATTGCTGTATGATATGCTTATTAAACAAATTGTGTAATTATAGTACATGTCTCATTCCCTGATTAAGACTGAACCATGTGTGATAAGTCGGAGCCAATGCCTAATTATATTGCCAAGTGTCAGGCAATCAAAATCCGTACTAAGCCTTAGAATAGAGTAATTCACCTACCCACCCTAATCTTTCCACAAGCCACATTTTCACCATCTTTTGAAATTTTTGCTCTGTTTAACATGGTTTTCAATGGAGCACGGTTTACTGTCAGAAAGTTGAAGTTGAAAACAGCAATGCAAGCAGCAAGGTTTTTTTTAAAGATGGGTGGAGCTTACAAATGACAATTTTCCATAATCCATCTACATTTTTTGTGCCTTAATAGACTACAAAACCTTCGTTCTTGAACTACTTGTAACATTGAAAGGCAGTTCAGGAGGAACTGCAAAGGTATGTAACCAGTACTCTATTTTTTTATGCTGCTTGACTTGACAGCTCTTGATGTTATTAACATGCCAAAAAAGTTTCAGTTAAGCAATTTACAGCAATTGAACTGTGAACTGGCTTTTAGAATCATACCATTCTTTTGTAATTCAAGCCTATATGTATTAGGAAATGACTTTTGTGCAATAGTTGTCCAATTTCCATGAGTTTTGATATTATTTTATGTGGTGGAACCTATAGCATTTCTATGTGTAATCACTTTACCTTATGCTGTTGAACTTTTCTTTTAATGTAACATTGTGTCTATATAGTTAATAGATTAAACAATGAGTACAGTATATTATAATTTTATGGAGCAAGCATGTCTTATAAATCAAACTGAAATCAAAGTGAAATTGCCGGATTAAACTCTATAACCCTCTATCCACAAAAGTTGGTGTATTGTGTAAAATGTAAGTAAAAACAGATCTTAATGATTTACAAATCATATAAACCCATATTTAACTGAAAATCGAACAAAGACAGCATCAGATGTTGAAACTGAGAAATTTTATTGTTTCTTGACAAATATATGCTCAATTTGAATTCGATACCAGCAGCATGGGACGGGGCAACAGAAGACTGGAAAAGTTGTGTGATGATAAAACAAAACACTCACAGTTCACAATCGCACGACTAATTAGGTTAATTGGCAACAGATCAGTCAGATGAGGCTGTGCAATGAAGATGGGGAGTGGTTCAATAGTGGTGAAAATAGTGGGTAAATAGTGCAAGACTTTAAGAATAATGTTCCTGAGTGTAATATTGCAAAGAAAATGGAAATGTTACCATCTAACGTACATAATATCATTAAAACAGTCAGAGAATCCACAGAGAAATCTCTGTATGCAAAGGACAAGGCCAAAACCCAATATTGGATAGTATGATCTTTGGGTCCTCAGGTGGCACTGCATTAAAAACAGACACGATTCTGTCGTGAAAATCACTGCATGGGCTCAGGAACACTTTAGAAAGCCATTGTCTGTGGACACAGTTTGTCACTGCATCCACAAATGCAGGATGAAACTCGATCATGCAGATAACAATCCATATCTAAACATGATCCAGAAACGCCGCCGACTTCTCTGGGCCCAACCTCATTTAGGATGGACTGAGGCAAACTGGAAAACTGTCCTGTGGTCTGATGAATCAAAATTTGAAACTCTTTATGGAAATCATGGACACTGTCCTCTGGGCAAAAGAGGAGAGAGACCATCCAACTTGTTATCAGCAGACACTTTCAAAGCCGGCGTCCGTGATGGTATGGGGGTGTATTAATGTCCACGGGTCCTTGGGTAGCTTGCACATCTGGGAAGGCATTATTAATGCTGAATGATATATTCAGGTTTTGGATCAACATATGCTGCAATCCAAGCTATGTCTTTTTTTTAGAGAAGGCCTTGTATATTTTAGCAAGACAATGCCAAACTGCTTTCTGTGCATATAACAGGCTCCATAATAGAAGAGTTCGGGTGCTAGCCTGGCCTGCCTGCAGTCCAAACCTGTCACCCATTGAAAACAGCTGGTATGCCATGAAATGAAAAATACAACAGAGGAGACCCCAAACTGCTGAGCCATTGAAATTTTATATCGGGCAGCATTTCACTTTTGAAGCTCCAGCAACTGGTCTCTTCAGTCAGGTTACAGAGTGTTGGTAAGAGAAGAGATGATGCAACACAGTGGTAAACATGCCCCTGTCTCAACCTTTTTGAAAGGTGTTGCTGGCATTAAACTGAAATTGAGCATATATTTGTCGTAAAACAATACAATTTCTGTTTCAACATTTGATACAGTATGTTGTCTTTGTTCTATTTTCATTCATTACATTTTGGTTTATATGATTTTTAAATCATTGCCTTCTGTTTTTATTTATATTTTAGTGTCCCAACTTGATTAGAAACAAGAGTTGTGGATAATGGCTCCATATACACCTATGACAAACTATTAACTAATTGTCGATACATGGAAATTTGATTTCTCAAATTGTGAATCAGCAAAACTAAATCTGAACATATTTATACTTTTGATATTTTTCTTTGTCATTTCTGCTCACCTAAATTAAATTGCTAATAATCAGGTCTGAACTTGGATGGCTTCAGCAGTCTCTTTTTTTTCATTAACAGTCCACCGTGAGTGTGACATTTCAGCACTAGGCCATCATTGTGTGCTTCTTGTTAATTTAAATCAAAATCTTTTCAGCTAAGCTGATTGTGTGTGAGGTCAAATCTGGTAGGTGTTTTAGAATACGTCATGTGTACCTGGTTTTTAAAGTCACAAGAAGCAAGAGTACAATGTTTGTATAAGCTGGTATTTCTAATTAACATGCATAATTACGTATTTGCTACTTCAGCTACTTCATACATCACAATAAAAGGGAACTAAATTAAACAATAACTCAACAAACTCATTAAAAGCACATTTCTATGCTATTAACCTAATTAGCAGTGCTAGATTTCTATTTATTTGACGTAGTTTTTCATTAGTTGAGGCTTTTGTCCAAAGTGATGTAGAAGTAAGGCAAATGGCGTATTACCTGAGGTTTGAAAAAGAAATTTCTTCTAGGGTTAGGGAATAATGCATTCAGTTACAAATCGCGATTCTTCGATGTGGCGATTTTTAAGGTGTCACGTTAAAAATCTATTTTTTAAATATTAATGTAAACAGGTTACTGTAACTATGTTGGTCACATTTGTTAATGCCAAATATATTTGTCGAGTTGTAAACACGTTTTTTTAAGGGACTGACTTGCACAAGTCTGGCATAGTGCTGTCATGAATGAGCAAGCATGTGCAGTAAGGATGGGCCTATTCACATTTTTTCAGTTCTGATCCGATTCCGATACACAAGCTTTCCGATGCTTAAAAATGCCCCAAAATTTTCTGTCACTGACAACAGTGTCACTTAACACCCCTCGTGTATGACAAGCTGTAGCGATTGTGCAAAGCAGCCTAATCTAGCGACTCCCAAATCATCCGTTGCTTTTTCATATTACTTGCGTTGTCTCGCACAATTGTATGCGCTTTGTTTAGTGAGAATATCGGATTTCTGCATCTCTAATCCCAAAGAGACTTTTACAGCACCATCTCAATTTAAATCTAATCTTGCGCAAATTTGGATTCAATAAAGTAAATGGACACCTAGATGTGATTATGGTTAGCGTGATAATACCACTAACATTCAGATGCATAATTCCAAACACCCAGAGTTTGATAACCGCAAACTCATTTGCATACTAAATAAAAGTAAGATAAATAAACAATCACAAGTAAGACTACTTCATAACAATCATGAATAACTAAACCCTGCCTTTTCTCCTACGGTGGTGGCCTAATGGATAGGGACATGTGCTCATGATTTGAAGATTGTTGGTTTGAATCTCCAACCAGCAAGGTACCACTGAGGTACCTTGAGTACAATACTGCCCCCAAGCACTGCTTCCTGGGTGCTGAATTAGCTGTCCCCTGGTATGTCACAGAGGATACATTTCACTGTTGTGTGCTGTGGTGTGTCAGCAATTAATCACTTTCACTTTACTACAGAGTATGGTTGCATATCTGTGGTGATAAGCACCCCCAGGTCTCCATTCATTCATTTCATCTGAATTTCCTGGCAAAAGCACCTTAAATGCCACAAGGGAGACTAACGTGTTGTTTCTCCCTTGCTGTGGTTGTATGCTGACTTGGACGATGTTTCCGATGACAGGGCTGTGGAGTCGGTAGATAAATGCTCCGACTCCGACTCCTCAGTTTCTAAATCTTCCGACTCCGACTCCCCGACTCCGACTCCTCTGTATGTATATACTATGCTAATGTATTTTCTACATCCATTGAAGGAAAGGAAGGCAACATAAATGTCATTTCACCACAGAACTACTGGCTAGGAAGCCAACACTCTACTATAATGCCAGATTAAAGAAAACACAATGAAAACAAGGTTTCAAGGGTAGCGCATAGCGAAGGGGAGCCAACGGAGCTGAGAACACACCAGGTGATTTTTCAGGCGTTTGACGCGTGATGACTCGTTGAACGGCCGAAAAATCGGCAGTGCATCTGTAAATGTATGGGGGGCTTTAGGCTAGGTTCACAGTTCCCTATAACAGTGGAACACGACACAATGGAAAGCGGTGCCGCACCTTACCTGTGCATTACATCCCATATAGTGACGCATACAGTCAATGAAAAGCATGCTTCATTGTTACTTGACATGTTCGTTTTGTGGTAACATTATGCACTGCATGCATTGGGCTTTATTCTTACAGCAGAGAAGTAGTTCATTATGACTGTTTGTGAATTGGGACATTTCAACTTACTTTTTTAATTCCCATTTAAATTTAGTAGGAGTCGGAGTCGGTTAACTTTTTGCCGACTCCGACTCCAGGTACCCAAAATTGTCTCCGACTCCGACTCCTCAACTCCGACTCCGACTCCACAGCCCTGTCCGATGAGTTAGCGAGTTGAATGCATTTCCAACACCATAATCAGATTTGATATAACAGAGCAATGCTGGTCTTATCAACTGCTCTCTCCAGTGATTTAATGGGAAATAAAAAAAAACAAAATATTCCAAACTATTGATTTAAGTGATTGGGGGGGGGGGGGGGGTGTCTTTAAGCACTCCAGCACTATTCGTGAACAACTCACAGCCACAATTAGCATAATGCTTTCCGTGCTGAACATCTGTTTGTGAATTTAGGTTTCAGTGGTGTCAAGAACTGCACTCATTCGTTTAATTGTGCATACCGAACCAAAAATGAATCATGCAATTGAAAGGCACAATGGATGAGTGTACAGTCAGGGACATATGAACCAGGTACCAATATTTAATTTGACTTAATTTGCTGTTCCAAAAATAGTAATTTTAAATTGTTGTGTTCCGCTCAACATCAGACTTTCTCCTATGTCATTAGTACCATGCAGACCTTGTCTTTAATTTAAATATAGACCTGAAATGCTCTTCAGCAAAAACTATTAAATAACCTTACGCGTAACACATATCGCATTGGCAAACAAATATCAAGATGTAATTGATTCAGGAGGACTCTGTGAATTCCAACCCCTAGAAAGCACTTCGTGTTGTTGTTCCTGCTAATTTTACACCACCACAGTGCAGCGTAACACTAACATAACTGCTAATAGTGCAATGTCCTTAGTAGCGGCTGAGCTGAAGTTCA